AATTCGCGTCGGGTGGAAGGGAAAATTATTAGCTCTCTGTCTCTCTCTCTCTCTCTCTCTGCGGGTTGAGTTATGAGGCACAAGGAGTTACATTCTTGAAGTTCACTCGTCTCCGGAGTGAGCTAAGCCCTTCTTCTTCTACCGTGCTGCCAACGGGAGAGCACTTTCGAGAGTTGTTACGTCATCTGCGACTTCGCGGATTCGAAAGCGCCCTCATTTCGTCGCTGAAATCCGCCACTCACCTGGCTTCGTTACGAGATTACTTTATATCGCGAGTTCGAATTGTCTGTTCAACAAATCGATAGCGCGGTTGTAAAACGAATCCGGAATTGATACGGGACAATCCGTATAAATTACAAACTATATTTACGTACATTTTGTTTACTAATCCATCTTGTAATGCTGTTCATTTTTTTTGCTGTAAAAAACTTGTTTCGCTATCGCATATAACATTTTGTAAATAAGTATTTTAATCAATATAGTATAAGATATATATATATATATATATATATATATATATATATATATATATATATATATATATATATATATATATATATATATATATATATATATATATATATATATATATATATATATATATATATATATATATATATATATATATATATATATATATATATATATATATATATATATATATATATATATATATATATATATATATATATATATATATATATATATATATATATATATATATATATATATATATATATCTTATACTATATTGATTAAAATACTTATTTACAAAATGTTATATGCGATAGCGAAACAAGTTTTTTACAGCAAAAAAAATGAACAGCATTACAAGATGGATTAGTAAACAAAATGTACGTAAATATAGTTTGTAATTTATACGGATTGTCCCGTATCAATTCCGGATTCGTTTTACAACCGCGCTATCGATTTGTTGAACAGACAATTCGAACTCGCGATATAAAGTAATCTCGTAACGAAGCCAGGTGAGTGGCGGATTTCAGCGACGAAATGAGGGCGCTTTCGAATCCGCGAAGTCGCAGATGACGTAACAACTCTCGAAAGTGCTCTCCCGTTGGCAGCACGGTAGAAGAAGAAGGGCTTAGCTCACTCCGGAGACGAGTGAACTTCAAGAATGTAACTCCTTGTGCCTCATAACTCAACCCGCAGAGAGAGAGAGAGAGAGAGACAGAGAGCTAATAATTTTCCCTTCCACCCGACGCGAATTGTCTTTTTTATGCTATGACATCAAATCTCTTTACCAACATTTTTCAATGTGACATTCTGATAATCAATCACTGAAGAATCTACAATCTATTTCACTATCTTTGAAGAAAAAAAAATATATATGGAGCTTTCTAAAATGGGTCATTAATTTGAAAATTAACTTTTAAATATGACAAAAATTTTCAAATATTTTTTAATGTGTTTTAATTTTATAAAAATTTTGATTTCTAAACAATGTTAAGAATTAAAAGATTATAAAGAGAAATACGTGTAAAGATTGATTACAAAGTAAAAAGTTATGATATGCAAAACACGCAAAATATGGAATGCATTGCACAGAGATTTTGTATACATAAAATTTGTTTAATAAACACATATCTTCTCGCTTCGCGCATAAGAGGATTAATATTTCGTCGGTGATTTGTTTCTCCCGCAGTGTTGGATTCTTCGCCTCTTTGGAATTAATTAGTTTATCCAGAGGCTCTCCTGGCAAATGTTATTCCGCCGCACGCTTCGTATATTTCCTTGTATTTTCCGTACTGTGAGGATCATATACATTGTCGCCTCGTTTACAGGCGTTTGCAAGAACCGGAATACGAAAGTAGACCAGCGAGAAACGAAGGTCCGCCCCGTCTATTACCATTCCCTCGTTCCGACGAGACCGTAACGATACGGGGCTCATTGCAGCTTTGCCAAATTATGGCAATAATATCACTTAGAATCGCGTATCGCGAGTCTCGGCGAAATTTCACTTAAGCCGGCGATTCGCGGGACCAGCGCATACGGATCTGCGACGCACGGCTCCCTAATGTTCAATCGTTCCCGAAACAACCGACTTTAACCTACCTACGAACGAGCCACTTAACAGCCAGCCCCTTCCGGCCCATCCTGATTTTGCCATTTGACTTTCTCTTCTTCACCTCTTTACGCTCTCTGCGAGAATTGTTTTAAAATTGAAATCAATACAATTTTCGAGCATATTTAACTTTAAATGCCGTAAACACGGAATAATCTATTTTATGTTGATTAAAAAAAGCGTATAAAAAAAGATAGATAAAAATTATTTGAAATTATCTTGAAATTTTTGTGAACCTCTTAAGTAATCTTATTCATGAAAGCTTAATCTATGTCATGTCTAATACGTCAAAATGTATTCACATAGTTTGAAATACTGAATCTTATTTTGAATTCTTTATTAGGTCAGATATTAGATTGATTTGATTTTCAGTACAAAAATCTTAATTTTCCGTTCCCTTTTTATTAGAAAATTGTCTCATCCCTTGCAATACCTCGATCGAAGTCAAATTCAAAGTTAATTTTTAGAAGAATAAATTGATTTCCTTTAATGATCTTTAGTCACCGAGAAAGCTGGAATAAGATTGTGACTAAAAGTTGAACTAACTTTTTCTTTAGACTAAGTATATAAAGTTTATAAGAGAAAAGGAGAGAATTAACTTAAGTATAATTTTTAAACTGATCACTGTCTTAATCTCTACCTTAGGTTTAAAAACAAAGTTACAGAGAACTTTTCTATTTTTTAAATTTGCATTAATTATAATACATGTGTGTATGTATGTGTGTGGTAGAGGCTAGAAAGAAATTTCTTTGCTAGCATATTATTTTATTTTATTATATTTCATTAAGTAAAATTATCAAAAATTCTTGTCAGAAATTTTCCATAAAAAAATTCCTATCTTAGATTTCAAAACATCTTCACTGCATATTGCGAGCCTCTTAAGCCTTAAGCAACGCACTCAGGCGTTATTCTCATAGCGTCTAACGGATAAAATGACATAGCTCTTCGAACTTTGTTTTCAGAAGTCATACGATAAACGCGCGAACGACGCATACCTTATTGAATTGCTTCGTAACTCGATTAAAGCCACTCCATGCGCGTGAATAATAATAGCGGCTCATTTAAGCGCCCGAGGAAGCGATGAGTCTCCGGGTTTGTGCTTCCATTTCTGAAAGGATGCTTGATTAGAAATATAAGTTTGTGAAAAGGAACTCACAAGAATCGTGCGAACGGAGAGAGAAGAAAACGGAAAATAAACGAATCAATAAACGCATGGAATTAATGATAAAAAATGTAATTTATTTTACATTTTTGAAGAACTTTATCTATTAATAACAAAATCAATATCTCTATTTATAATACAAAACGTAAAATGTAAAATTTTTATAATTACATATAGTCATATATAGTATACATGATAATAGAAAGATATATAATATTAATTTCTCTTTCTTTGCAGATTCTCAAAATTGATAGGATTATCAAGTTAATAAGAGGATATGATTTGAAAAAGTATGAATGCATGATATTATTTACGCATATAATTTTTAATTAACGTTTTACAATAAATTTCAAAAACTATTACATAAAAATATATAGTAAATAAAAATACATAGTGTATATAAAAAATGCATTAAAAATTAATGAAAATAGAAATTATTAATGAAAATAGAATAATGATTTTTTCAGTTCTTAATAAACTTTCATCATTAAATATTTCGGCGTTAAAGATTTAAAGTTTCTGTTAAAAGCACAATTTTTAATATTTTTGTTTACTTATAAACTTGAAAAGAATATAACTGCTATTCTGTATGAATTTATATTAATAATACGATATAGTTCACGCTTGCGCAAATGTTCTTTTGAAGAACTAGAAGATTTTAACGCAGTTAACCCAAAAAGTTGGCTGAGATAGACGGATATATATTGAAGAGACTAAAGTGATGAAAGGAAGACAGTTCTCGCGCGTTCATAGGGAGAGAGGTACTAAAAGCCTCGTCGAATTCTTCGCGTCGTCCGCGCACCTGACGACATGAATTTTGATTTGCAAATGAAATCTCAACTTTGTCGGGAATTTCGCACTCGGCAATTTTCCCCGGGCCGCCTTTGTTTTCGGCAGCTTTCATGACGAGCTTCAATTATACGGACTATTCTCTCAGCCCGATTCCTTTCGCGATCTGTTCTTCCCTTTCATCTCGATTCCATTTTTTTCCTCGATCTATTCGCTTCCTTCCCTCTTTCTTCCGTCGCCGCCATCGATCTACGCTTCCTTTTCTCCTGGTCGGGAACTTTTGCGGAGAATGCCGGACAGAGAGAAGAGGAACTTGCGGCATGAAATTTGCGAACGGACTGAATTCTAATTATCCCGGCATTTCTTTTGCGCGTTTTTCACGTTCTGCGTTTTTTCTTTTTTGCCTTCGCCGCTTTCGCTGGATCGCGTCGTCCTCGTTATGCGCTACCGCATATTGCAAAAACGCCGGATTCTCGGAAAGGGACGGAAGTAATGGCCGAAGCGGAGTGGAAATCAAAAAAGCGAGCGTCTATACGCTCTGCGAATCATGCTTACGAACTGTACGATTGCCATTGAAATGCCATCCTTGTTGTGTAAACGACAAATTATTTTATATTAAAGTGGCTTATTGATATAAGTGGAGAGATTTTCAGGTTTTTTCTCGACAGTATAGAGTAAATGAAAACATGTTACTGAGATGGTAAAGCGAATTTTTATTCATAATTATGAATACGAAGATAAAAAAAATAAGAATTTTAATTTATAAAATTTATTGCGCCTAATTTTTCTTAACTGCAAATTCTTTGGCGAAGTTGGAGCGTTTTATTAATTAAAAGTCAATTGCGACATTCTTTTATTATTATAATATTTAATATATAAAACAGGCGCATTTATTGCCATGAACTATTTTATCTTTTTTTACATTTATGTTAGCAATATTAAATTTGTATTAACGATTTTTTGCAGTGAAACCACTGAAAGTGGAAATTTTGGGGAAGGACCAGATCCTATCGGCAGGAAAGATGTATGATGTGAGATGTCAGAGCGTCGGTTCAAAGCCGGCGGCGGTCCTGACCTGGTCCAAGTCCTCGAAGCAGCTGAAGGGACTCAAGAAAAACGTGAGTGACGCCAAGAACCTTCTTCCTTGCGTTGCGCGAGGCAAAAACGTGCCGCGCTTGAACGAACCGCACTGCCGCTTCGTGCTTAATTGCATCCCCCCACTTAACCACTGTTTCGAGATACGAGAAACGTTCCCTTTTTCTCTTTCTTTCTCTCGATTACACAACTTTACTCCGCTTTATTACATAAACTAATCTAGGTACTCTTT